ACAGCCTCGAACCCGTGAATCACTTCAAGACTTCAAGACTTCTATACAAAGTGGTCACGCGAGACTTCAAACCCAGCACCCAATGGGTGAAGGCCGCAAACAAAGCCAAAGAACGGCTGTTTCGTCACTGCGCGACCATGAAGTGCAGAAAACCCAAGATGTTTGTCATCCTATACAGGTGCATCGTCCGCCCGCATCTGGAATATTGCGGGCAGGCTTGGGCTATATGTTTTCGCAAAGACATCGATGCTTCGTCACACTGTTTCCTCTATAAGCTGATTATTTTCTCACCTCACAGAAACGTTTCTATAACTGGTTTTATTGCACGGTCTCTATAGTGGCAATTGAATGAGGCTAGTTAATTGGTTCAACTAAATCTTTCATTTCCTTGGTTATCTTAAACTTCTAGCATTAGATTAAGCGATAACATGCATAGGTTCTATCCCCTCTCCCCAGTTAGGAGCCTAAATAGACTGCTTCCCATTCCCGGCTCTCCTTCCAGAGATCTGTTGCTCCCAGACTAACGGCAACTTCTGTCGAATCGAACCGATATGCAACGGCGAAGAAAACCGAACTATAAGCAAAAGCTGAATGCAGGATTCAATGGAATCTCTCATCAACTGGACTCTTTCGTTAAACAAACTTAATGTGAGTCTGCGGGCACACACACAGTGACCCGTGTATTTTACTGATGATAGAAGACGTGGCGAGGTTTGAAACCACTTTACCGCGTCTTTACCCGATCACCCTCGCCCGATCGGTGATGTCACTCAAAAGCTAGTTGTATTGGCATGACTTTATATAACCGTATTTATAAATCTCCCAGCACTAGCATACACAAAAAGTATTTCAAGCCTCCATCCATTCAGGCTTTGTCTCTGTCCACCTCCACACAAAGAACGTTTAACATTAATTACTGTGTTCGATACTCTCCGTTTTAATTTTTCGTCCCCGACCGAACCCAAACCATGAATAACACAATTCTTTGACATACGGACACCATTTCAATTATTCCAATTACTCCTATGTGACTTTTCGTTTATATACCTCCTTATCTACAGAATTACAAACTGTCAGAAATGTGCTACTTTGTTCACATTCTCCTTTATCACTTCCCGATTGAACCAAATGACCACTGACTGTTTTGTGGTTCTCTTAAATTGTTGCACGCAAACATAATCGCGTTCCGCTGTTTTTTAACCCCACTAACTCTGTCGACCCAAATGTTTCACCATTCATTAAACAAAATGATCGTGTAACATGCCTCACAACGAAAGTCGTGAAATATACCATTGTTATTGTTGTTATAATCATATGTGCAAAAACAGTGCATGTATAAAGAAGGATTAATTAGAAGATATACACAATAGAAATGGTGGGGAAGCGGAACGAAAAGGCATTGCGAAAGGAACACAAAGCGGACAAGGTCACAAACGTAGGTGTGGAGGATGGAGGAATGCACTGAATAAGCATGTCAGTGGAGATTGAAGTAACAGCCAACCTTGTATCTAGAGAATTCCACGTGCGGCAATGATGGTAGAAAATACGGAAAGACGGTCTGTGAAACAAACAACGGCAGATGATGAAGACACGCGCATATAAAGGAGTAGGAATGAGTACAACGACTTCATACATTTGTAAAAGTACATGTTCCTCTGTATGCTGCAACACAACTTGCTTCTGAGGAAACAATCATTTTTTTCGAGGCTTCGATCAGTCATGGAATGATTGAGATTATTTAGGCGTTGGTCGCTTGCTTTGGGACTGACTACACGCTAGACCCCCAACCTTAAAACACCTTTTAGGTGAGGCAGGGGGTGTGATCCTCAGCTTGGTCCGGAGTGAGCTTGCATATAGTCAAAACGGTGGAAACAGCCCAAAAGCCATTGCCGGAGCCAAGTTGTTCATTTTGGGTGTACACCCCAAGCCTTCGATAGGCCCAAGCCGACCGCATCTGGAAGAAAAAGTCGATACTCAACAGTTTGGGGTAACACCCAGAAAAGAACGGCTGAGGGTGAACAAAGCATGTCAGGAAACAATATACTGAGTGGAATAGTGCAAGGAAGTATGTACATATACATACCTATGTATACCTAAATATAAAAGACGAAGGTGCTGCACAAAACGATTAAGTAGGAATGCAAATGCCATTCACGATCTCGAAGCTTCCAACATTCGACCAGGGTTACGAAAAACAGTGAAAAAATGAGGTAATAGGCGTGGGTTTGCGATGATAGGAGAACTATGCTCAAGAGCGAATTCACCGATAAGCTTTTAATATTCCACTGTGTCAGTGTACTGAAATAGCATTGAGAAATGAATGCGACCACTGCTAACTGGTTAGCGCGTCGCGGATTCGTGAGGACACACAGAACAAAGTTACTTGGGAAAGATTTCGAGTATGAATGAGGTATCAAAATACTTTTAAGAGTATATACGAAAATGGAATGTCCTGCAGTTCAAGCTTTAAAGCTGAGCCCGTATACTGATAATAATCCGGTTGAGAAAGTGGACACTGCTACCTGGTTAGCATGTGCCACGGAATTGAACCAAGTGCGTCAAATGAGAACGAGATCAGTGGGATGTCAATTGAGGAATAATGGTCCACATTACCAGAGCAAATTGGAAATTCAAACCACGCATAAAGTAAGGCACCGAGAGACTAACTCCAACTCAGGTTCATCGTGGTTTGTCTCCAGCACTATTCGTGTTTCATCCCGAACTTCGCCACGAAGGTTCAACCGCTGTTCTCTGCTCGTTCGACTCATTCGGAATGGAAATGGATGGCCGAGTGTGAAAATGTTCCGCGTGAAGTCATTCAGATGATAACAGAAAGACCAGTACTTGCCTCGTTCTCTCCGACGAAACATCCAACTTTGATCACCAACGCATCAGATTTTGGCGTTGGTGCCGTCCTCGAACAGGACGGATGTCCAATTGTGTGCGTCTCTTGTCTACTGTTACAAGGCAGAACCAGGATATTCGCAGATGCACAAAGAAGCATTGGCTGTATATTGGGCAGTCCGAAGCCCGCACAAATACCTGTTTGGGTTGCGTTTCACCATCAGAATTTATCAGCAAGCCCTGCAGTATCTATTCAGTCCACTAAAGTCAATTTCAAAACCGACGGCGGTAATCAGTCAGCAATGGACCATTCATTTTTGTGTCTACAACTACGAGTTTTTCTCCCGGTGGTCCAAATTCTCGGCAACTAAGAGATGCCATTTTACTACTGCTGCTGCTCGGTATCACGAGAGGATTTGCGCCGATTTACCAAAAGATACTATGCAGAAATCATAACAGCCCTGTCAAAAGGGTTACGTCCCGACTTGAGGCGGAAGTTCCCAGCATTGTATGCGCTTCGTGAAGAAATCAGCGCATAACCTGGCGGAATGCTATGCCACAACGATCGACTGATCATCCCACCTCCAATACGAAAGACCATTTATCGATGGAGAAGATGAAGTCGTTGGCAGGACAAATGTGTTGGTGGTTCGGACTAGATGAAGACATTGGACGAACCGGTAAGAACTGTGAAGCAGGCCTACAAAAGCACAGGCCAAAACCGAAGAATTGAGCATCATGGCCCGAAAGCTGCATTGCTTTTCAACGCGTGCACGCCGACTTCTGTGAACCATGTCTCGGTTATTACCACGCACTTGTTCTCCTCGATTCGCACTCAAAATGGGCTGAAGTGTTTCTAAACAGTACACGAACGACATCGTTCGTGATCCGGGTACTACGAAACTTTTTCAGTCGAGAAAGAGTCCCTTAGGTGTTGGTGACAGACAACGGATCGCAGCTCTGCGCTGCGGAGTTCAAAACTTGGCTGGACAGTATTGGCTGCTGACATCTGCGCACAGCACCACGTCACCCCTACTCGAACGGCCCGGCGGAAAATTTGGTGAAAACAGTGAAGAGTGCCATCCCTCTGCAAATCTAAGGACAATTTCTGAGTTGAAAACACTCGTAAACAAATTCCTGCTACAATCCCGGAATGCCGCACATGCTACCACTAAAGAGAGTCCGTCAGAACTGTTAAAAGTCAGACGTTTACGGTCCTCACAAGGATGCGTGGATTGGGGTGACGTCGTATACTTTCGAGGAAACGACCTGAGACCACTAAACCATTAGCCCCAAGATTGGTCAATCTATGATCGAGATCATAGATCTCACAGATGCGACGGTTCGTCGACGCCACATCGATCAAATTCGCTTCAACAAAACTCCCACTTCGATTGAAGACCCTGCCGAAGAAACCCACATTGTGATACGACATCAATAACTATAGAAGACCAAATTCAGCAGCCCCTGTTCCGGAAATGTCTGCCGACGAGAATACCACACTGGAACTCCGACGAACAATCAGAAGACCAATCAAATTTGACGAAGCTCTTTTCAGGGAGGATAGCTAAGGTGATCCAAGCCTACCTGGTGACGGCTACCCTGGAGCTAAACGATACAGTTTCTGGACACCTGTGAACAATCAAATTTGAAAGATAACGTCAGTGACACGCCTACTGCTTCTGACTACGCGCCATTTCATTTCTTTCAATAAGCAAACTTTGCACTACCATTTTTGTGGCCTTTTCCTCGCGTCTCGTCCACGTGGGATAATGCGAGCTCGTGCCATCACGCTTCAGTAATCCAGTTCGTAATAGCTGATCCTAAATTCGTGTCCTGTGATTCGTATCGCGTGGTTCGTGTTCCGAATTTCGTCTGTAATACTACTAATACTATTACGACAATCAATAAAACTTTGTAGCTACTGGGGAGTTATCTACTGTTGTCACCCATGTAACTAATTCTTCAAAGGTCACCGTGGCTTCCTTCTCTGCACTGCCAGCCACAACTAAGTTCTTTAGTTACGGTACTCTGTCCTGAGTTTGTGGGGGTCTAGGCCTTAAATTGCGGACAGCGGCTTCGCTCTCTTTAGACCTATTTTGTAGGCTCTTTCCTACTTTGCAGGTGCATTCTTAGATTCGTTCGGTGTGGATGTGATGATGAGAGACGCACCCAGTTATGAGGACAAACTTACATGATTTTCGAAGCCCCATGAAGACGTCAAGCTTATCAGTGCAAAAAACTGAACTTATAACTTCTCTGTGAGATGTCGCATTCATTTTAAAGTTGGGTGTACCGCTGAAGTTTGAGCAGCGCGCTGATGTTTTACCATTCACAAATACTGAATTCCGGAAATTATCGTCGTGAGAAATGTTGTCTTCTCATGATAGATCTGAAATGTAACACTAAACATAAGTTTATCACTTCACTCTCGACAATTTGTTATGTAGCGTGTAAACTACGCAGTGTGTACCGGCGCGCACATTTGGCTTTCAATTTTGTTGCTTCAACGGGTTCCGACATGGCCAGTAAGGATGCAGTCAAGCACAAAGAGCCTCCAGAAATCATCATCGATGCCAAAAATAAGCGGAAATACACTCGGCACCGATTTTTGGGAAAGGTGCGCTCTCCCTTTCCAAAATAATTACGAAGGCAATTCTTTGTCTAGGGTGGTTTCGCGAAATGCTATGAGCTGATCGACCAAGAAACTAATGAAATCTTCGCCGGGAAAGTTGTTCCTAAGGCGGCTTTAACGAAGGCTTCCCAAAAAGAAAAGATGCAACAAGAAATCAGTATCCATAGGACCCTGAAACATGAAAATGTTGTAGCTTTTCAGGGTTATTTTGAAGATCGTGATTTCATTTATATTGTTCTGGAGTTATGCAAGCGTCGAGTATGTGATTTTATTTTGTGACTTACTCTTCTAGTCCCTATTAGAGTTACATAAGCGGCGTAGAGTCATTTCCGAACCGGAGGCGAGATATTTTCTTCGGCAAATCGTTCATGGCTGTCAGTACCTGCATCGGAATAAGATAATGCACAGAGACCTCAAACTTGCCAATTTGTTTCTTAGTGATGAACTGATAATTAAGATTGGTGATTTCGGGCTTGCCTCTCGGATTGTGCACGATGGGGAAAAAAAGAAGACCTTATGTGGCACTCCCAATTACATCGCTCCTGAGGTCTTGACCAAGGGAGGGCATAGTTTCGAGGTCGATTGCTGGTCCCTAGGCTGTATTTTGTAAGTGGTATTCATTTCACCATCGATTTATGTCAGGTACACATTGCTTGTTGGCAAACCTCCTTTTGAAACGAATGAACTCGAGAAGACCTACACAAGAATTAAGCATAATGAGTATCAGATTCCAACCAGAGTTTCAACATCTGCGTCCAAGCTCATCCGGGCGTTGTTGCATGCGGATCCTGCTAAGCGCCCCAGCATGTTCACGATCCTAGACGATGATTTTTTCAAAGATTATATACCTAATTGTTTGCCAGTGACCGCCCTCACCACGTGCCCCAGATTTGATGTGAACATACAAACCGGAAGGCGACCGTTATCTGATATTAATCCTCTTGAAGATTTACCGATCACCAGTGGTGGTGGGACTGTATGTAAGCCCAGCGCCGCTCCGGTGGACGCTGAACCGGATGACTGCTGGTTGCGGACATTGAAGCAAGAGGTTCGTGAATTTTGATCGATTTATTTGTCGTAGATCCTTACTTTACTTGGCGAAGCGAAAATTTTGGAGCCCAATATTCTGCAAGCCATGGAGGAAAGCGAAGACCCTGCATCATGCCCTATATACTGGGTAAGCAAGTGGGTGGACTATTCCGACAAATATGGTCTTGGCTATCAACTGTGCGATAACTCGAGTGGAGTTGTCTTCAACGATGTCACTCGACTCCTACTGGCCGCGAATTTGCAAAATATGCAGTATATTGAAGCAAACGGTACGGAGCGTTTCTACACCAAGTCGGATCATCCGGAAAGTTTGATGAAGAAAATTACCCTGTTGAATTATTTCAAGACGTATATGCAAGAAAATCTGCTAAAGGTAAGTTCTTAGCGATCTGGTTGGTCGCGACGCTGTCTGTCTCATTCAGTTCTGTTTTGATTAAAATGAATTGTTTGAACGTTGTCCCGTCTGGCTATAGAACGCTAATAGATAGGCTCTACAATGCCACTCAGTGATCATGGTTTCACATTACATAATTCAAGCTCGAGGGTTCATTGGTCCATGTAATGCTATTCAGTTCTAATTTTCGTCGAATGTAAGTTTCCAAAACTAAATAGGTCTTCATTACAAGAGTGGTTGGAGGTTCGAGCCCCGCCGCCGCCATTCGACTTTGGTGGTAGACACGTCGCCTGGTGTAGCTTTATATAGTTCGCCATCCCAGGTCCTGGGGCTTTGGTCGCTGGTTGCCATCACTGAACAGGGGGTCTTCGTGACTATCAGATCCGCCCCCATATGCTGTTCATCACCGTGGTATTTATTAAAAGTAATGAAGCGTTACGAGGTTGATCTGGGTAACCTTGTGAGATTCCCCAAAAAAGAATAGAGGCTTGAAAACTATGGTCAGGGTGAACGTTTCAGAACTGTGCGTATCACTGGTTTTGTTTCGTCAGGTGTGTCTGCCAACGGAAAAAATTGAGTTAGGCTTCTCCGGAGTTCTTGTACCATTTATGCTTATTCTACTTCTGGCTGTCTTCCCGGGCTCCGATCACTGATTGTCATGACCGGGTAACTTGCTACTGTTGGGCTTTTCCCTTGAACTGTTCACACTGGGTTGTAATTACAAAGTCTTCTGTATGTAATTTATTGTTTTCACTACTAGTACGACATTTAACCTAAGTTGAAACTACTAGTTTTCCAAAATTTAGATGAAACATCCTCCAGAAGTTCTTACGAATGTCGAAAGATTTTTGATAAAATGTTGCGTTTTGTCATGGTTACGAATCACTGAAAACGAAGTTCACTGTTTTGTTTGAAGCTCCATTCCTGTTGGTCGAACCGTCATTAAAGTTCACCAGCAGTCTGCCAGGAAACTGATAGCCTTAAGTTGTATCTGCAGTTTTCAGGTAAAATAGTATTTCGCAAGGTGGTGGGAATGGGTTAGCAATAGCATCCCATGTCACTCACCTTTTGACGGCGTAGACAAAAGTGGACGAATTTATTTGGTGAGCTGCGTCTCACCCGTCGGACGCATCAAGGATGAAGTGTCGACACGCATACAACTAACTCGATTGGTATTTGCTAACTTAAGACATCTTTGGTGCTGTCGCTGCACCCATCTGCCGGCAAAATTTCGATGACACGCTAAAGCAGTTTGGCCGGTGCTGACATACGGCACATAGACTTGACGATTACAGAAACGATCTAGCAGCAGGGGCAATAAAGACAGCAAATATACAGCTACTCGGAGAGCTATTTCATCTCGCTGAAGAGAGGTGCATTAAGTTTCGGCACGCATACAGATTCCTCGAGTAATTTTGGTAATATTGACATAACGGTATCACTCGGTTGTCTGTCAGAAGTTCAGTATATGCTGCTGTCCGGCAGGTAATCCTGCAACCGATAATCGAATGTGATAGTTACGCATCTTATTTCCCTTCTCAGGTCGGATTAATTTGCTTCCTATATCCTCATTTTTTGTTAATTTGTACCTTTATTTACGTAGTGTTCAGCGGACCGGCAGCAGTGGCGTTCTTATTGTCGTTTCTTATCGGGTCAGAATGCTTGAAACGGTATGTATGCAGAGTTCGATTGCGTACTGTGTTGACCATAGTGACTGATCTCCCTTCCTCAAAATAGATCCAACCCCTGTCCACCTTCAATTTTATCACTAACCTTGTATGCATTGCGAGTTTGGCAGCGGTCAGTGAAGTTCGCTTCACTGTATTTCGCTGTACGATGATGATGATGATGTAGTGTTCGATCACGAGGATCACCGAAGAAAGTAAAAGCTGAACTGAGTGGAAGTTGTCACAGCCAGAGAGCACTGGTCCTTCTTCGGTCTAGCAAAAAATTCTCAAGTCTCTGGACGGTGACATGGGATCAGCTGACTCAGGTTGACCTCAGTGAGGTGTCTTTGGTTTATCCCCAAACTGAATTGCTTGTCCCGTTTGGGGTCTGATCCCCACTGGCTGTTATACGCTTCATCCTCTGACTCACTGTTCGCAGCTTAATAGTGTGAATCGTTGATTTACAAGAAAGACGACATACTCTCCTGTGAAAACCACAAAGGAATTATTTTAATCAACATTGTGTCTGAAGTTCTCTCTGGTATCCCACTCTGTCGATTGTCTGCCGCACGTGAAAGGTGCACGCGTGGGAACCAGACTGGTTTTAGACCTGGCCGAGGTTGTATCGACCATGTCTTCACTCTTCGCCAAATTCTAGAACACACCTTTCGTAGACCCACCGTTTCTGTCTTCCTCGATCTGGAAGCAGCTTTCGACTCAATCGACCGCTCTTAACTCTGGCGCCACCTCGCTCTAAAAGGTGTGCCCGAGCATTCTATTTCAATATTAGGGTCCCTTTATACTAATGGCCGAAGCCGAGTTTGAGCTTACAGCACTTTCTCACCCGAGTTCACCATGAAAAGTAGTATTCTCTAGCGTTACTTAACTTGACTTACTTAACTTCGTTATAGAACTGATTCTTGAAACAGCCCTGTTCTGGTGCGAGGATAGTTACATCGATTTACTCTCAGGCGAAAGACTAGAGTCTACAGACGACATTGTGCTACTATGTGAAGATCCGGGTAAATTGCAAGCTCTTCTGGATAGTTTGAGTGCTAGTGTAGCCATGTGTTTTGCATCTTCAAAGTGTAAAATGTTGCTACAAGATTGGGTTGGTCCAGTCCTCAACCTCACCCTGATTGGCGAAGTAGTAGAGTTAGTAGACAAGTTTTGCTCTCTGGGCAGGTATATCTCACCTGGCGGACGTATCACAGATGAAGTGCGTATACAAAATGCTCAGTTGTCATTTGCCAACCTGAGACGTCCGTGGTGCCATCGCGACATCCGGCTGTCTGTGAAGGGTCGAGTATATGCAGCAGCTCTGCTAGTTCTGTTTTACGATGCGGAGACTTGGCAACTACGGGAGCAGGATAAAAATAGGTTGCTTGTGTTCAAACACCGCTTTCTACGTCGCATTACACGTGTCGGGTAGGGTTACCGTACGAACAATGCTGAGGTTAGGTGTAGAGCTTTGGTTGATGGTGATCACCCTCAAGAATAATTGGTTGACCTCCATAGATTGCATTGGTTGGAACATGTGTTATGCATGTCACCCGATAGGTTGCCACATCGAGCAATGTTTGCCGAGGCAGGTAGCGGATGGAAAAAGATCAAGGATCGTCAAACTAAGACCCGATACGAGGGCATGAAAACCCTAACCAAGAGACTAGGTCATGTGGTCTCGTTTGGCTCCCTGGATGGAGCCCCCGAGATCATGGTCACCGGTGGTTAGAGACATTGAGTGATATGGCTGAGTGTCGCCAACGGTGGCGCTCATTATTCTTGCAATCCCAGTCTAAATGAATTTTTCTCTATCCTCCCCTTGAATCTGCTCTCAACATTCCAATCTTATTTTTGCTGTCAGTTCGTCGGATCATACATCAGTCAAACGTCCAAGATGCCCAATTGAGTTGGTGACCATTGCCACAACCGGACAGGTATGGGTCCGGTTTGTACGTCTCCTTTTGCTTGGTTTGAAATCAGGGGTTTTGACCAACTCCTAGGCGGTGGCGGAAGAAGCCAGGTGCGCAGCTTTGTGACACATGAAGCGTTCTCTAGCTCTCTGTATGGTTAGCGAGCATGTCTCTGGCTTGCACGAATTAGTTAGGTGATGTTGGTGTGGACGAGTGACGCCAAGGACGGAATACTGAGTTTTAAAACATACAGCACGGTTACAAGCATGATTAGACCACTCGCTGGATCGTTTTTTGCCAGGGTTAGAAAATGGTGGGAAATACATTGAACAATCTCAGTAAAGTTCAAAACAGAATAGAAAACAGATTTGAAAAAAACCCTTCTAGAAAGTCACGAAAACCGTTCCAGTTGGCTGCTTCTGGAGTTACGTGGTGCGATGGGGNTGGGGTGAGAAAAATGATTAAGGAAGGAAATGAAGCAATGGTCCGAGAAGCCTAATGGGTAAGGGGAGTGATGTTAGAGAAAGGACTGAGTAAGGATTTGAGAATGAGGTCAAGGTTGTGGCGCAGTCACCAGTACGATCAAGGATTCGCGTATTGAGGTCAATGAATTGACACGGATTGCTGAACACAACAAATGCCTCGGCTTCGCGTCCCATGAACGTAGTGTCTGATGAATGCTTCAGCCATTCCGCATTGTGGACGTTGAACTCTTCGGCTGTGGTCGTTTGGCATGCATGCATACAAGGTTAGTAGTAAAATTTAGGATGGACAAAGATTGGAACTGTTTTGATTGAAGGAAAAGATGAATCTCTATGGTCAGCACACAGAGTATCCAATGGAATTGTGCATGCTTACTGTTTCAGGCATTCTGGCCTGATAAGAAATGGCAACAAGAACTCCATTACCGTCAGTTCGTCGCCATACCATCAGTTTCTCCTACCAACCAGTTGCGGAGTCTTTCAGAGCCCAACCTAGAAGGCGCGATACACCTAATCGCTCGGCGGGATTTCTTCATGTCTGGTCTGTGCGTCCTACGTTGATCTCCAATGTTGGAAGATAGCATATCAAACGTGATAGGATCGCTACTGCTCGGGAAACAAACGGTACCAAAATAGGGATCGAAAGTTGAGTCTACCGCTGTTGTTGAGGGTGCTGTGAGTTTGTAGGTAGAGTGCTCATTCTGATTCATGTGGTTTGTGTTCATTTGTGATTTGAGACGAGACCGACAACCCCACCCTGAGACTTGGAGTGGTAAACAACATAGGTTGGTCGTGGTAGTGAGCCCGGTAGCAGCAGAGTTGCACGCCTACATCACAGGATTCTGTTCCAGAAGATTCACTCTTACGGGCAAGATAACCCAACTATCGCCATGGAGGTTCGCTTACTTTCCCCATCCCTAAAGTCCGGTCACGATCCCCCTTCCACATTCCCGTTTACCTTATCTGCAGCAATCAGCGACGTTCACTTCTGTGTATTACGCTGTACAGTGACGATAATGGTAAGTGGCGCCAGCGCAGCTGTACTTTTTGTTACAATACTCCGGGCCAGTGAAATGCAGACAATTCACATCGGGGAGTTTGCTAAAATCCCAAACTGAACAAGAGATCATTAAACTCGCTTATTTCTGATCGATTTGCAGTACGGCGAGGGAAGTACGTCGTGAACAGCGGTGTTCTATTTTACCAATCCATTTCATATCAAAGAATGCCTTGAAAATGTTGACAATAAATGGGCAACTGAGCGAGACGGATGCGATTTGGCGTGAGCGGATGACATCCTAATTGTATTCAACTGTTTGATATCTTTCGGCAAAAGTTAAAGCGATACCTTTCCTGGTGATTTCGCAAATTCCGGATTTTATTATTATTGCTATACTTATCACGTCTGATTTCAGACTACCAAACAAGTCACGGCACATCCCCTAAATAGTAAACTTGACGTGACGCGCTAATCGATTCAACGCTAGCTCATCAGAGGCCTGAGCGACGATCGCGAAATTTATTTGGTAGCGGTATCTGCGCGATGTGGCTGTTCGTGGCTGTTGGTAACCATCGCAATCTAATTAGTTGTATTGCACACGGTTGGGGCCTATGGCGAACTCATCTTCGTTTTCTGTTACCATATACGTATCTTTACATGACGGTTTTTGATTAATCAAAATGTATGCAGTAACTTTGTCAACTGAAATGACCCGTCTGATTTCCTACCACTCACTTTAGGCTGGAGAAAATGCTGCCCGCCGGGAGGCGGACGATATGGCACGTTTACCATTTTTGCGACAATGGTTCCGAACACGGTCCGCTATTATTCTCCACTTGAGTAATGGCACACTCCAAGTAAGTTCTGTCCACATTTTACCTGCCTCACTCACTATGGATGGCTTTTCATTGAGTCTACAATTCCTACATAAGTTTCGGTTTGAACAGAATTCCTCATTGCCTCTGGATGAACACGGCCAGTAAATAGTTCAATGATCGCTGATCCGTGTAAAATCTCTTGTTAACAGGGATTCCCAGTGTACACAAAAACCCTTGATTTTATCTCTGTTCTGGTAGAACGCCGGAGCAAGGGAGAAAAGAGTTGAGGCTTGCGATATCCTGCGGAACAGTGCGTAGTGCTCTCTCGTGTAAACAGCGAAATGGTTGTGGAATCACGTTCGAGTCCATTCTAAGAACTAGAGCGGACAAATCACGATTTCACTTCTGTCCGAGAAGATTTGACAAACCGTCGATCACATGTTGCAAGCCGCAACTGGAAAGAATTCTTGTACTGGAAACAGAAAAAAACTTACCTTTAAACAAGGAAACGTTTTTGTTCTTGCTGTTCTGTTCCTCCTTCTTTGTTCCAAATGTCCTCCACCTTTTCATCTGTCATCTTAATCATCATACAGTGAAAAACTGACGGTTTTCATCTAGGGTATTTAGACGTTCATTTTTTTCTACCTGCTCCAAACAACATAAACACCGATCATCGAAAATCTCTATTGGTTTGATGCCTTCTGTTGGCGAATTCACAATCTCACAACTGTCAACTAGAACTGACTGGTCGGTAACCCACTTTTCAAATTCAGTGGAAAATATCACGCTACTATACTACTAAAATTTGGGATACGAACCACAATGGACGATTAGCTTCACTATCGCAGTACATTCATTTTTTATTGAAGTTCTCAGTTCCACCATTTTCATCCACCCGACTCCTTCATTGGTTGACTT